CTCTCTTAAGTTAGAGTATACTCTGTCTCCTTACCTGAAAACCATCCTAAGGACAACAGAGTAAGAAAGAAAAATACTGAGATTGGAGATACCTCTGGTGCATCACCCATTAGGTGAGATTAAGTTCAGCGCTGGACTATTTTAATAGCCAAGAGTTTTAAATTTATAAATATTCATACCAAATGTATTTATTAGTATTAATATTATTACTCTGTAATTTTTTCACACTCTTAAAGTTTTTTCAGAAATCTTTGTTTTGTTTTGTTTTTGGAGCGGTTTTTGCTATAGGGCATGTGTGCTTACCAGAACGACAGAGAGCGACAGAGAGACAAAAAGAGAGAAATCACGCCCCCGGGGGGGGATGGCTATGTCACAATCCCTTCTCCTCTATTCTCCTCTTGGGATCTTGGACACGCACACACACACACCAAGCATCAGTTTAAGCCACCCGGTCCGGGACTCCAATAGAGGTTGACTACGTGGAAGTCCAGCAACATAGCCATTATGCCAACTGCTGGTCTCTCTTCAGAAATCTTAATATAACCTTAGAAAAATCCACCTTTAAATTATTTGAGACTCTCAGTGGGTATTTAGGATTTTTTTTAATGGTTCTAATTTTAATGATTGATAAACTATTATTTAATATGGTCTGTCCATCTTTATTCCAAGAAAGTCAGTCTCATTGCCTATATTTTCTAGAGAATAATATAGCACAATAAAGAGATTCTCAGTGCCCCCAAACACTCCAAGTCCAACTTTAGGCAAGCAAAGCAATGGTGCCTGCCTCCGCCACCCTTGTTGATGTCCGTCATCTTTCTCAGCTTATCTTCTACCTTCTAGCTCACTTCGAACCTGACCGAGAGATATACCCAGCACAGTTTTCTGTGCGAACGACCTGAATGCATCCCCTTCCTAAATCAGAATGATTGATACCAACTTGAGAACAGAAGCCACAAGGGAGACTTCGGATGGGCTAGGAGTGGGTTGGGTGGGAGCTAGTGGAGCAGTGGTGACTGGTTTAAAGAGGCACCTGGAGGACCAGCAGGGGGCATAGCAGTTACTTCACTGGACTCCCACATGGCCGACCAGTGTTCAAGTCCTTGACCTGGTGGCTTAAAACTCATGTTGGGCACGTGTGTGTGAGCTCAACATCCTGGGAGGAGGGTGGAGAGGGATTGTGACATGGCTATCTTCCTGGGATCATTTCTCACTTTCCCTTTCACTGTGTCTGTCACTCTTTCTCCAGTGAGCACACACATCCCAAGGCAAAAATCTAAAAAAATACAAAAGCACCTGGTAAAGTTCACACTGGCTATGACACTCAAGTTAGATGTCAGCACCACCATTTTCAACACAGATAATGATCTAGAATTTGATCAAAATATGTAGCTTCATTATTCTTTTAATTTGCTAGAGGGTTCCTGCACTGGTCAGAGATAAAGAGAGAAAGAGAGAGAGAGGATACGGGAGAGGGAGAGGGGAAAGGGAGAAGAAGGGAAAGAAGGAGGGAGAGGGAGGGAGAGAAACCCTCAGCAAGGCATCTCATGCTACAATCTCCTCCATTCCTCCACACCATCAGAATTTGGGGCACTTGTACACATGAACACAGCATATGTCTTTTCAAGCCACTAGGCCTGAACTCAAACTGGGCAGTCATCCATGTATGGTCCAGCTGCCTTTACAACCTGCCCCGAATTGGCCCAGCCTCATCATTTTTTTGGTGTTTTTTGCCTTAGGGCATGTATGCTTTGTGTGTGTGTGTGTGTGTGCATGTGTGTGTGAGAGAGAGAGAGAGGAGTGAGAGAGAGAGAGAGAGAGAGAGGCAGACACTTAAAGTGAGAAATCTGTCCTATCCCAGGGAGCATGACCACACCACAATCCCTTCTTCATTCTTCTCTTGGGATCTTGGGCACACACATACATGCACCCAGCATGAGTTTCAAGTCACTAGATCCTGGACATGAGCTGCAGCCAGCTACGTGGGAGTCCAGTGAAGTAAACACTAGGCCATCTGCTGGTCCCACTAGCGTCATTCTTTATAAGTATTCATTTTTCTCTTGAAAAATACATGTGGAAATAGCTTGAGAATGTTCTGTCATTGACTGTGTTTTGCACAGATACCGTTTCTCTAACCTGACACTTAACATCCCTGTGTATTCCTGAATCTGTAAATGGATACTCATCTGTTCACTGTGCTGCTCACAGCAGTCCCGAGCTGGGCTGCCTTTCTAGCCCATCCGCCTGTGGTGGAGAATGTGCTGGTGCTCACATGGTCTGCTGGTGGTCTTCCCCGTCCTGTTCTGACTAGATCTCCCAGGCAGACCAGTGAGAAGCTGGGGGAGACCTGCCATGCTCCCCACTGAACTTCATCATTGATCTCCAGTTCAGTCTCAGCTTTGAACCTCACCTCCAGGAAAAGAAGGCAAAAGCAGATACCCGTTCCTGTAGAGTCAGATCAGACATCTCCAGTCCCCGTGGAGTTCAGTGAGATACCACCCAGATGTGGGACTCCAAACATCCTTTGATGTCACTATAGGGAGGATAAAGACTTCTTCAGAACTAGATATAGGTCAGGCCAGGGGAAGTGGGAGAAGAAATCTTGATTCATTTTATCTTAAGGTCCTCTTTCTTTCATTTCTAGCCTGCACAGCAGGAAGGTTACAGGATTTTGCCTTGAGAAAATTTTGTTTCTGTACTGATGGGATATTATTATCTCATGTGACAAGGAGCATCTGCTCTTGTCCTTGATAGTACTTTTACAAGTTGAACTTTTACTAATTCAGTAGACTTTGTTTAATTTGTAGCTCTCTTTTCCAGTATTCAGTAAGTTCCACAAAGACTGTAATACAGTTTCTATGGATTGCTGGTGTATCCCTAGCCCTAAGCATGCTTCCTGGTACATGATAGATTCTCAACAAATATTTGTTGAATAAGTGAGTGAAATGATTCATTAATTCAGTCTCATAGATAAATCATGCTAAGAATGAATGACTTGCTCAGTGTCATGGGCCTGTTGAGTGACAAAGTGTATCAGAAATTGTGGTGTGTCATAACAAGAAAATCACCACAACCTGTCTCTCGCCTTTTAAGAGGTGTGAACTACCTGGGTTTTTTTTTGGTTCCCCCCCCCCCCCCGGTGTTGGTTTGTCCTGTTTTGTTTTACCAGTGGGAGGGTGCTATTACCTCTAATGTGCTTGTGCAATTACAAGATTTATCTTGAAAAGCCAAAATGCAAGAGGGAAATCTTAGAGTCATAAATCAACTCTAAATGAATACCATCATGCATTACGTAAGGTAGGCCATCCTAATTGCTTCAATGTGTTTATTATTAAAGTGACTTCTGCTTATTCTCTTACTCATTCATCAATTCATCAATTACTTGATGTCAAGTTTGTATCAAGATCTGAACTAGACAATGGGGATTAATGAAAGGAGGCTGTGGCCGAGATGGGCGGAGACACAGACTCAGCCTTCTCTAGCTGAAAATAATGGGGAAGAACAGCTGGCAGCTAATTATAGCCACATGACAAGTGAACAGACATGGCTGTCTACACCCCAAAGCAACTGGGAAAGACATTAAGGAGGCAGTGACATTTGAGTTGATTTGGGAGAAAAAGACAAATTCACCCTGGCAGCAAGGTAGGAGAAAAGTGTGCACCCTTTTCCTGCAGGGTGAACACTTTTATGAAATCTGGAGGTGAGGAAGAACATGCCATCTTTCGGGGACAGTAAATAGCTTGTGATGACAGCATCTTTTTTGGGCCCGTGTCACAGATCATAGTCTCAGCATATGCCAAGCCCTGACCTCATAGAATTTGCAAAGTTGGAAGCTCCAATGATAATTTGCTTTGATAAGATACAAATACAGGTTTGTCTGGCTCCACACCTCACTAAGTAATAACTATACTGTGAAACTCTATAGTGCTCTCTGAATCGCTCCTTCTAATGAATTTATACAAATAGCCAGCCAGATTTGGTCTTTGTACGTTGGAATGTATTTTTTTACCACCTTTGAAATCAGCATGCGTCTGTGTAATTAGCCTAGCAGTGCATTTTATACTGCCTCTTGGTAATTCATTGGTCTTTATACTGCCTCTTGGTAATTCATTGGTCATTATCTTAAATTGTTGTGACCCTTTTCTTCTTGTTTATCTTTGTATGTATTTTGGCCTTTTTACTCCACCTAAGTTCTACACTTTTGTGGTCAGTCTTTGATAGCCCTGGGAAATGCAGGCTACTTGTAGAGGCTCATTCCACATCTGTTGGTTTATGATTTGGTTTCAAGCCAAAAATCTACTTGCCTAAGACTTTGATGCACTATTTGAAATAAGATTACATTGCAGTTTATCCTACTAATATTGGTCATGTGGTTTTCCCATAAATAGAATAACTATCATGGCAACAATAAATATCAAGTTATAAAGCAACCTAAAAATAGTCTGGGTATTGTGATTCTTCACATAATTGAACACTAGTAAAATCGAGATGTGCTCAATAAAGCAACACTTAGAAATTTTATCTCACTTCTTTAAGAATGGATAATATCTTTGTTTCAAGGCAAAAAGATTGGATGCCACTCTTTTAGACAGCTTAAATAGACTTTAGAAATGTGACTTAAACCAAAAAATCACATCTATATGTGTAAAATTTCCTCAAATCCATTATACAGAACAGGCCAGCGGATTATCAGCTTGGTCATAGGCAGTCATTGGTGAAGAATTATTTTATTAATCATATGAGAATGATTATTCTGAAGGGATTTTTGAAGATTTAGAGACTATATTAAGTAAATCTCAGATCACTTCATTTAGAAGTATGATTCTTCTAAGGTTTCTGGATTTTAGGGGCATAATTTTGACAAAGTAGTCACTGAGAGGTATTTTACAATTATTTCTTATGAAGGAAAATTTTGGCTAAGAGACTTTTTGGAGATGGAAATATTTAACTAGATACTTTCTAGAATGAACTATATTGGACTTATTTTTTGGCTTCCTTTTCAGCTCCCTGTGGATATAATGTAACGTCTCAGAATGGAACCATTTATTCCCCTGGATTTCCAGATGAGTATCCGATTTTGAAGGATTGCATTTGGCTCATCACGGTGCCCCCGGGACATGGAGTTTACATCAACTTCACTTTGTTACAGACAGAAGCTGTTAATGATTACATTGCTGTTTGGTATGAGAACCTTTCAAGTAAAAAATCTGTAATTGTGAAACCTAGTTTGATTAGTACTTAATTATGTCAGATTATATATTTAAAAATGAACTAATTAGATCAATATTGAGAAAGAAATTTACCCATGAAATCCTGAGATAGAATAAATTTCATATAATGCATTTTGGTTTTGCTACATGGTAGAAATATCTGGGAATCTGGGAATACTTTTTTTTTTAATTTTTTCAGAGGGTGCCTGGGCTTTCCAGAGAGATATAGAAAGAGAGAGAGAGAGAACCATCCGAATAAGGCAATAAGGTGTGGTTATGCAGCAATCCTTTCTTCATTTCTCCATCTTGTTGGGATTTGGGATATGCACACATGTGCCCAGTGTGTTTTTCAAGCCACTGGGGACAGGTTTCAAACTATGCAGTAGGTCATGTGAAATCTGGGTCCCTTAATCATCAGGCCATGGGGGCAGCCTGAGGTTTACTTTAATACTGGTAGGTTCATTTGCCACTATTTGACATTTCTAGAAGTATTGAAGAAATTTAACACTTAACTTTCTCTTCATCATTTCCAAATGTTTCAGTAGTGACCTTCTACTTGGTGTGGGCAGGTAACATTAAGCTAGGAACCAAGTGGTAGGAATCAATTTGTCACTTCCATGGAAATGGCTATTTCTACTTTTGTCTGTTGAGTGAGAGTTCAGAAGGGAAATGGGAAGTGGCAGTTCTCCTGTGATACCAGGATGGGAGAGGCACGTGGTGCCCTGGGGCATTACAGGGGGTATGCTTGTTGGCATAAGCTGTCATGGAAACTAAAGGGATGATCATAAGTGGCAAGTGTATGTGTGTGAGCCCCTGTCAGTGGATCTGTAACTGTGTCCTTTTCTGTGTCTGTATGTAGTTCAGTGTGTATGTTTGTGAGGTGTGTGTGTGTATGTTTCCTTTTCTGTATCTGCAGGTAGGTCTGTTCATGTGTGTGTATGTGTTTGGTGTATGTGTATGTTTGTATGTATGTGTCTGTGTGCGATATGTCTCTATCTGGTATGTGTGGTATGTCTACGTATGTGGTATGTGTACATGGGTGTGTTTTTGTGTGTGGTATGGATGGGTGTGGATGAATGTCTCTGCATGTGGTGTATTCATGCCACTTTCTTTGTGTCTGTGTGTATATGTAATGTAAGTCTCTGTATGATGTGCATGTGTGTGTTTGTATGTGTGATATGCCTATATCTTTGTGTCTGTGTAGTATGTCTGTGTATTGTGTCTGTGCATATAGTGTATATAGTTTATGTTTATATATGTGTATGCTGTGAGTGTGTGTCTGAGTTGTTGTGTCTGTGTGCGCGGTATGCCTGTGCCTACATATGTATGTGTGGAATGTCTGTGTGTAGATATATGTCTGTATAAGGTGTGCATATGTGTAGTGTGTGCATGTAGTTTCTGTAGGTTTGTGTGCATATGTGAGTTATATCTATGTGTGATATGTCTGTGTGTGTATTTGAGATATGTCTGTGTGTGATGTGTCCGTGTGTGACTGTGTCTGTGGCTATGTCTATGTGTGGTCTGTTGTGTGTGGTGCCTGTGTATGTGGTATGTCTGGGTATTTGTGTGAATATGTATTTGAAGATGTGTATTATGTCTGTGAATGTAGTGGGCTTGCGTATCTGTTTCCATAGATCTGTGTGTATATTTGAGGTAACTATCTGTGTGTAATGTGTGGGGTGTCTGTGTCTATGGGTATGTGCCTGTGTGTGGTGTTTCTGTCTTGTGTCTGTGTGTGGTATATCTGTGTGTGTGTGTGTGTGTGTGTGTGTGTGTGTGTTGGTGTGTGTGCATCTGTGTGTGGTGTGGCTGTGTGACTATGTCTGTATGACTGTGTCTATATAGGGGTGATATGTCTGTGTATGTGTGTGTGCATGGGTATGTATCTGTGTATGTGTGTGTGTGTGTGTGTGTGTGTGGTGTGGCTGAACTTTGTTCGAGAGAGAGTAAAAGGTGACATGTACAAGCAGGTCCTTAGAAATCATGTTTGGGGGGGGCTGGCAGGTGGCATGGTGGTTAAGGCACTGGACTCCCACATGGCCAACCACAGTTTGAGCCCTGGACTTGGCGACTTGCTTTCTCACTTTCCCTTTCTCTCTCCCTTTGTCTCTCTGGTCAAATTAAAAAAATAAATAATAATAACAAATAAAATAAAATGAATAATTTAAATAAAAAGAAATCATGTTTAGTATTTGTGGCTTTATTCTGTTAGTAGTGAGGATTCACTTGGGACTTTTAAGAGAGCTAAGAGACCAAATTTTTGATGCAAAATACTGGTCTAATTTTGTGGGAAATACAGTATAGTGGGGGAAAAGCTTTTCAAGCTGTGGAAATGACTCTTGAAGGAAGCTGATAATGAGCTGAGCATTGGCTATGAGAGTGAGGAGAAGCAGAGCTGGAAATATAAAGGTAGCCATATGGAACTGCTAATTCAAAAGTAAGGCAAAATAACCATACTGTATATTGGCAATTTCACACACATTAAGCAATATGTTTGGAAGGTAGACTCAGAAGGTCTTGACAACTGACAGATGTTGAGTGTCTGTTGTCAGAATGCTAATAAAAGAGAAAGACTGAAAAATTTGGTCAACTTCGTAAACATCTTGGTATTCCCAAACACAGTCTCTAGAGGATGGTTATATTTTATTGTTTTTTTAAAAAAATCATTCATTAGCAAATGTTTTCATCTTACAATGAAATCAACATTATTACATTTAGACCTAAAATACAGAAATCTGAAAGAAGTTGATCTATGGTGTTATAGCCACTACAGTAAATGTGACCGTGTCTCTGAAATTCTCTGCAAAGTTGAGCTCTGGAGGTGAGGTGAGTCAGTCCTCCTCTCCAGGTTTGAACAACTACAGCAAGGAGCATGAACCAACCATCCTGCTTTTACCGAGACAGAGCCCAAAGCCCAGATGCCAGGAACCAAATGGGTTGCTAATTTTAATGGTGATGTTGGAACTATTTGTCCAACTGCTCTTTTTGTCTTTCTCAGGGATGGTCCTGATCAGAATTCTCCTCAGCTAGGAGTTTTCAGCGGAAACACAGCTCTGGAAACAGCATATAGTTCTACCAACCAAGTCCTGCTCAAGTTCCACAGTGATTTTTCAAATGGTGGCTTCTTTGTCCTCAATTTTCACGGTCAGTTTATTTTCCCCTAATGATTAAAATGGAAAAATCCAAGCAGTAATCCTGTAGTATTGACCTAGGCCTATTTCCCATGGAAATTTCTCGACTCTGTCAGCTGAGAACCTACCGGCATCGTGCCCCAGAGGCTTGAGTTCCCCATGATCCTTTTTTGTTTAGTAATACCTTCATTATTATTTCAGATCTTATCAAATTTTGTTTTCAAGTAAGCTTGGGTTCATCTCTAGATAAATATATAAATGGAAATCTGCTACAGATCGTTGAAATACATTTGATGCCTTTTAGAGATAGACTTATCTCTGTATCCTGATGATGTGTTATGGCAAATGTCATATTATAAATGAGTTGGAAACAAATTTCTAATGATCTTGAAATGTAAACAAAATGGAATAAAAGTATATCAATCCCTTAGTGCTCATGGGAATTGCCACCCCTGAGATTCCTTAGAACAAGGGATAGATGAGAGCTTATCAAATCTAAATGTCAAACAGGAAGCCAGAAAATAGCTGAATCATTTATCTGACAAAATCCCAAACATATGAAAAGTGCATATTTTAGATGTTATAATGTTTTTTAATTGTTCGCTATTTTTTTTTTAGATTTCAAATATTCCTTGGTGTTCAATAATTATATAAACTTTTGAAGCTTCAGAATTTTATAAAACAATGATTCATAAATGTAGACATTTCAGTGTACTTAAGATTATGATAACTTTGAGAGAAATGCTTTTTCTTGTAATATTTATTCAGCACATTTAATTGCAATTATTATTATTTTTTTCATAAATCATTTAGCCTTTCAGCTCAAGAAATGTCAGCCTCCCCCAGCAGTTCCACAGGCAGACATGCTTACTGAAGATGAGGATTTTGAAATAGGTAATATTTTCTCTTTACAAGACCATGAATTCACTCTGACTGTTATACCCATCTCTAACTGCAGTAGTTACTCAGACTAATAAGTGAGTAATTTCAAGAAACTATCCCTAAAGCATTCCTGTAGACTTATAAAAAGATCATGCATCATACAGAAAACATTTTTTCTTTCTTCATTTCCATACTTTTGTCATTTAACTTTTGCTTTGGTCATTTTGAGCACTTTTTTCCTAGATAACATTTATTACCTCATATTTTTAAATATGTTTTCAGCAACAAATGAGCAAAGATTTGTATTAGGGAGCTAATACATTCATACACTTGAGAAAAAACTTGATCATTTGTGGCTAAAAGGATGATTAGTGTAACATTGACCTCTCATTGAAACTGGAATATAATCAATAGAGTACATTTTTAAATAATATGTGGAGATTCTGCTTTATCATTTTGTATTAATGGTCTTATTCATTAAATAATCACTTGGTCATATTAGGAAAGTAACCATGGCATATGTTTGCAGTATAATTATTGTGACCTAGGATTTCTCAGCTCCAATTAAAAATAGTTTGTCCTATTGTCACACCATGCTTCAGACCACTGGTCAAACCATGTGACCCAGTTTCTCTATACTCTTAATGGCTTAATTAATTGGAACATCGTGCTAATTAGACCAAGGTCATGGATAAGTCTTCTCTGGATGCAATAGAGTCATTCTATTTTATAATATTCTACAGCCTTGCTTAAATCGCAAGCATCTATTTCACATAAAACATTAATTTCATTTTTTTCTGGTAGTCATTGGGAAGGGGAATGAACATAGGTGGTCACTAAAGAAAACACTATGATGTGATTTTCATATTAATATTTGTTAAGTTTAAGAAAGCACTTCATAAATTAAGAACTGTAAATGGGATTATTATTTTAAACAGACAAAACATGAATGCAGACATGGTTTCTGAAATGGTGTGCACAGAATTAACTTATCATCATATATGTCTATTTTAGTGTATTTCTTTAGTTGCCAGGGGCACATGCTCCCTTAATTGTTGGGCTGGCTCCATCATACAAGTTTAATACACTTGAATCTCTGAATGTTATAGAGACACCATTTCATAGTCAGTTGTGTTGACGCTTTCAGGAGATTTTGTGAAGTACCAGTGCCACCCCGGATACACGTTGTTGGGGACTGACACGCTGACCTGTAAGCTCAGTTCCCAGTTGCAGTTTGAAGGATCTCTCCCAACATGTGAAGGTATGCACAGTTTGATTCTGAAACTATACTTATGCAAAAGGAAAACTGTATTATTTGTAAGTGTCTGCGTTTCTTTATCTGTATAGGTATAAACTTAATATATGAGCTGTGACCCCACAGCAATAAAAATAATGAACTTACAGAAATAGCTAATGACCCTTCCTTCGTTAGTGAGCCATAGAGAATAAATCAACACACGTCACACAAGAAGCCTTGTGTTTTTCCCCTGACAATGAATCATGAAAATGTTCAAACATGTGGCAAAGTTTAAATACTTTTTAGAGGAAAATACAAAATTTTTAAAAGTTTTTAGGTTTATCTATTCCATGAGAGAGAAAGAGACAGCGATAGAGAAAGATAGGCACCTTCATCAAGATCTCTGCCTCATGACTCATCCCCGGGCTCATTTGACCTAGATGAGGTGCATGCACATGTGCACCTGGCAGACTCAAGGCCCTTGCCCATGTGAGACCAGTTTGGTTACCACTATACTACTACCTGGCTCTATGAAATAATTAAAAATGAACACGTGAGTATCCACCACTTAGTTTCTTCCATGCATGTTTCCAGTATTTCTTATTCTCACAAGTCTATCTCTTCGTCTTTCTATTTATCTATCTTATTATTTTTTTTTATGTATTTCAAGTCAAATTTTGGGCCTTACTAAGATTCTTCCTAAATATTTCAGCATTAATATTTTAGCTGGTATTTCATTTTTTGGGGGTATAAATGTTGTAAACAATGAAATCGCATATCTTGTGTTTTTATATACCTTTAAAATACAGACTATATAAAAAATATAGACAATATAAAACAATAGAACAAAATTTGAGACTGAATCCATCAATTAAGTTAATTTAATTAGGATAGAATTATATCACTTTTTTTTCTTCTTTTTTTTGGGAGAGATTTCTGCTATAGGGCATATACACTCACTGGAGAGAGAGCAAGAGAGACAGAGAAACAGAAAGCAGAAAATCACGTCACAAGGGCAATGGCCATGCTGTAGTCCCTTGTTCTACATTCTTTTCTTGGGATTTTGAGCCTGCACATGAGCCTAGTGTGCATTTAAAGTTACCGGGTCAGGGACTCGAACGGTGGCTGGCCATGTGGGAGTCCAGTGACATAACTGTTATGCCAGCTGCTGGTCCCTATTATATCATTTTTCAAACATCATTTAATAGATATCATTTCAAGTACCATTGGAAGAAAAAAGACTTGGAAAACTATAAATAAGCTCAGATGGCTCCAATTAAATCTGAAACATCATTTGATTCACTACTATAATAAAACTTTCCAAATTAAAATTGGTTTTTTTATTTATGGTTTCTAAATTATAATTAAGTGTAATGCCTTTGTGCAATAGAACTTTCCTTTTCTTGGGATCTGTTATTCATTAGGAAGAGTGAGGCAGTTACAATGGCCCAAAGATTCAGGAGAGAAAATCTGGAGTCCAAATCTAGCCTCTATCTAGCAATTTTGGGGCAAATTACAAATCTCTGAGCACTTTGCAAAGGAAGATGTTCTTTGCATTACTTATGAGATTGTTGCAAAGATTTGGTGGATATTAAAGGGGTGATTATTTTCAGTGTTTTGTAATGTTAATTATCTCCTCTAGAAAAGGCAGTTTTTAATTAATTTTTTAGATTTTTGCCATAGGGCATGAGCATTCCCTGAAGAGACTAAAAAGAGAGAGAGAAAGTGAGAAACCACCCCCCAAGTTGGAATGATCACACTGTAATTCCTCCTCATCCATTCTTCTCTTGGGATTTTAGGCATGCACCTACATGCAACCAGAATATTTTTTCAAGCTGCAGGTGGATCCGTGACAAACTGCAGTCATGTAGGATCCATCCCCTTAACCACTACGCCCCCTACTGGCCCAGAAAAAGGCAGGTTTATTCGCATTGCAAAACTATCGAATTTGCAATCATTTTACAAACACTTGAACCAATACATAAATTCTATTTAAATAATCAGTAACTTTGTCCTCTTTATGTGAAAGACAGAATTCTAATCACTGAGAAACTTTTCAATATCTGAAGGAAATTTGGCATGCACTTTGGAACAAATTACTACTAAACCTTATAATAACTTAGTTATTTTTGCTAAAATTTAACTTTAAAATGTCTACATGACAGTCCATGGATATTGGGAAAATAATCACACAGGAAGAAGAACGACCCATTGGTCTGTTAGTCTTTTCAAATGCCATCGGAACCCATGCTCTAGTAGATGTCACTGAATTTGTTTTTAATTGTCTCACGTAGATCTGAGGATTACATTGGGCACAGTCAGGAGATTGAAGTTATTATTTTCTTGCAAAATATATCAACACCATGTTACAATAGCAAAAATTACCTACTTGTGAATTTTTTTTTCCTCAAGGTTAGGGGTTATAAGATGTTCATCTTTTAGTCATTCTGTATAAAAATTAACTGAGGTGAACCTTCACATTTATAAGATATATTTTATTCCTATGAACATTACCTTGGATTTCTCAGGATAAGACTTTAAACCAAGCTAGTCTTTTTATAACATTTTTTAAAATTTCATTTTCTTTTATACATCCAATCACATTATTTAGCTTACGAAATGAATATTTCAACAGGTGAACATTTCTCCCTAGTCCAGTTGATAAAACTATAAAATATCTTCAACAGATAATACCACATTTCTTTGTCCCATTAATGCTTTGCCTCTCTGTTTTTCTTCTAAGCGTCCTTCCTCAGACCTTACTCTTTCTCACACGCTATGGATAAGTGAAAATATGCATGTGTATTTATCTAATACGACACGCTGTAAACAGGAAATCTTTATTATGTTGTCCTCTCCAACGTAAGCTAGTTTTTGTTTGTTTGATTTTTTGTGCGTGTGTGTGAGACTTTGCCATTAGGCACATGAACTCCTAAGACAGAGAGGGAAAGTAAGAAATTGACCTCAGCATGGATGGCCATGCCGTATTCTCTTCTCCTCCGTTCTCTTCTTGGGATTTTGAGCATGTGTGCACACATCCTTGATGTATTTTTCAAGCCACCAGGTCCAGGACTTGAAACACACACTTGGTCATGTGGGCTCCAACAACTTAACCATCATGCCACCAGCTGGCCCCACTAGTTTTTATTTAAATGAAGTTTAAGTAATGACATCTGAGAACAGAGTAGATTAACACACCATGAGCGTCATTCTCTGCATGAGTTAGACTGTCACACACTTTTGCAGGGAGCATTCTGCCTACAAGGCTTCCCCTGTTTATTCGTGCCCTCCTGAAGTACATTATGACACTGTCACATAGCACAACATGACCTGTACATCGCTACATAGTTTTGTTTTCTTTCAATTCAGAAGTAAATTTGTTTAAAATGAACTGAGAGTGATTTTCGCTGTCAGCCCCTAAACAATTCTTTACTTAAAAATAGGAACTCAGATGTCCTTTACCAAATCTTTAATCACTTAAGAACTTAATTATAATCTTGCTCTAAGTACTTTTCTATCATTTGATTGATTTGATTAGACTCAAGTGGGGGGCCAATCCCCCAATAAATTCTGGATGAAAAATTGTATTAGGTATTAGTTCTACTTATTGAAGTATAATAATCATATTTTTAAAGTTCTGCTTTAAAAATTATCATCAATTTTGGGGACACTAGGGGAGTAGATTATTCTTTGGAAGTTAACCTTCTGTGCAGGGAAATGTTACCATATTAGATACCGACTTTAATTTAGGAAAAACAAAACAAAACAAAACAACACCTGAGTGAGAGTAATCACAAAACTGCTTCTTCATGTTAAGGAAAAGAAGTAGTTCAAAAAGTAAAGAGAATTAATAATAGATGTTTGGAAACAGAAAAGATCATTTAACATCCAGGAAAGAGGGGATGCCTCCTTTCGGTTTGCTCTTAGGGTATGTTTGAGGAAGAGATACTAAGTGAGTGAAAACCTAAAATTGGGCAGAATATCAGTTTGCTTCTTCCTATAGAACACGGAGATCCCTCAATAGTTTTCATAATATTATTTTTTCAAATGTAAACATATATTTTCAATGAATGCTAAAAAGAATCAATGACCTTCTAATAATGACCTTTGGTCTGCAAAGTAACAAAGGGAGGTCAAGTGAAAGCAACAGATGAGCACTTCATGGGTTCTGGGTGAAAGCTTTTCCAATACGGAGCATTCTCAATTCCTACAATTTTCTCATATCTATAGGTGTTTTTACAAGAAGAATCTTAATTACTTATAAATCTGAATTTATGCTACTAATCCTCTATAACTACTCTAATCCTATATTTCTTGTGCTGAATGTCTGCATGATGCAGTAAATAATGTGTTTGGGATTTTAAGCCTCACATTTGATTTTTCTGCAAAACTGAGCTAAAGGAATAGCGTGCAGAGGGGCGATGGCTCAAGACACAAGTGAATGTTTTGGAGAGGCAAGCTCCCTTCAGGTGTGTTTTTGACAGGAGCTTTAAGCAGATGCCTCCCTGTGGTGGTAGGTTTCCCAAATTCCCCCATGGAGACAGAATATTTTTTAATGCATGATTGTTGCCAGAGAAATGAGCAGTTGAGCTGTAGTAAAACATGCAGTTCTTTGAAATTTCCCTTCTCTAAGTGGGTGTTGCTCCTAGCAACAGTTTATAGCAATGAACAAGAAGAAATAGGTACATATGAAAGAGCAGGAGGAACAAATGAAAGGAAACTCTTTAGCTCATGGGGAAACATTCAAATGCCTTTTTTTTTTTTTCCTGGAGAGATTTTCACTATAGGGCACGTGCGCTCTACAGACAGACAGAGAGAGACAGAGAAAGAAAGCGAGAAATCACCCCCTCCAGGGGAGATGGTCACGCTGCAATCCCTCCTCCTCCATTCTCCTCTCAGGATCTTGGGCACGCACGCATAGGCGCCCTGTGTGAGTTTTAAGCCACCGGGTCCGGGACACGAACCACGGTTGACTATGTGGGAGTCCAGCGACATAGCCATTACGCTAATTGCTGGTTCCCTCAAATGCCTTTTTAAAACAATATGTACTTCTAGGAAAAAAAAAATGCTTAGCATCGTAAGAAAAATTAAACAAAAAATTTGCTTATATTTTCATTTTGTCTTCTCTAAAATATAAAACAGTGTGTGTGTGTGTGTATTTTTTTTTTTTTTTGAGAGGTTTTTGCTATGAGGCATGTGTGCTCGCCAGAAAGTCAGAGAAAGACATAGACACAGAAAGTGAGAAATCACCCCCCCCAGGGGGATGGGCTATTCTCCTCTTGGGATCTTGGGCACACATGCACACATGCCCAGTATGAGTTCAGGCCAGCAGATCCGGGACTTAAACTGCAGTCGACTATATGGGATTCTAGTGACATAGCCATTACACCAACTGCTGGTCCCTAAAACAGTATTTTTAAAATGGAAGGAATAAGATGGCTATGCTGGGCCTGCAGGTGGCATGACGGTTAAGGTGGCTGGATCCCACGTGGACAATTCTGTGGTTCAAGTCCTGGACTTTGCAGCTAAGACACCAGGTGCTTGTGTGTGTGTGCCCCACATCCTGAGATGAGAATGGAAGAGTGGAAACTGTGACATAGCCATCCCCCTGGGCGGTGATTTCTCACTTTCCCTCTCTTTTTGTTTCACTGTCTATCTGGCAAGCCCATGCAAGCTGTGGGAGAAAAAAGAAAAGAATGGCCATGCTAAAGAAGCTGCTTCCTATTTAGAATTTCTGCACTGCTTTCCATCCCTGGGATGTGCTAGTAGTTTTCCAGGTGGATTTTAGCAATTCAGTAGAAGGTTTTCTGTTTCCAGATGGCCTAAAGTTCCAGTGTCACCTAATAACTTTAGCTGCAGAGATAAAGTCTTGTTTCTTGTATATATAAACAGGGCAGAGAGACAGGCTAAATACTTCTCAAGCATAATACCACAAAATGAAATATGCTCTGGTAGTATCTTTGTGTCAGGAAAAGGCAGGCATATGGTCAAACCACTGCTAGTCCTTATAACGCTTTCTGCCATACATGTTTTAGATTTAAGAAAAGCATTTGCATATTATAACCCTGAGGGGCAGCCACCATTACCCTCCATATCAGAGATCGGAAAAACTCTGACTCCTTCTGCAGTCAATGCAGCTTCTAAAACTTCAGGCTCTCATTATACAGAAGAACAAATGCCGATTTCTCTTCTTTACTTTCTCAATATATCAACATATTCACTTTTGAATGTTCACATTATTATTATTATTATTATTATTATTATTATTTTGCCAGAGGTAATGTGTGCTTACCCAAGACAGAGTCAGACAGAGAGGAAGAGGAAGAAAGCATCCCCCCGATGGAGTATAGCCAAGGAATAGGCCCTCTTCTCCATTTTGCCATCCTTGAGGGATTTGGGCCAAGCCCACATATGTGCCCAGTACGTGCTTTAAGGCTCCAGATTCGGACCATGCAGCAGCCATGTGGGATCCAGTTTCCTTAACCACCAGGTAGTGGGCTGGCGTTGAACATTCACTTTTGAATGGGCATGCTATATTTTATATAGTGATTCTACCACCAATACAGTAGAAAATACTTTAATTAGGTCATTTTAGTCTGTGTATGTTAGTTAGGTTTTTTCTTTTGTATTATTGCCATGGATTTGTGACAAGTATTTTAACAATCGAACCTAAAATATTAGGTCGTCAAGACTTTCCCGATGACCGAATACATACTTAAGTGATTCTAGGAAATGTTTCCTCATTGGTGACTCTATGCCTAAGCATTCAAAAATTTAAAATCCAACTCAATTAGAATATCAAGACAAATATAAGAAAAAAGTACTTTTTAATGGAGAGTTACTTCAGTCAAAACATACTTCGAGTTCTGTTCATCCTTTTAGGAAGTATTTATGGAAAGCTATAAATAAATAATACATAATCATATAATTAAAAGGAGATAAATTGGATGCGTTTGTTTAGACAAAAGCTCTTTTTTATTAAGGAGAAGTTGATTATTGAACTTTTAAAATGCACTGTAAGTAGTTTGGGTACATTTTTGTTTATTTATGAATCATTACCAATAATAGAAATAATTTCTCCTTAATAGTCTTCTAATCAAACTCTTTCTGGAAGATAATTTCATTTAGCAATGGAAGAAATTGCTAATTAAGAGACTCTGCTTTGGTGATTTTCTTTTGCACGTTTATACCTATGCAGATTATTTACATTTTGATTAACCTGAAAGTGGTTGAATAAAGAAACAAAGCTGAAGAAGAAAAGTATGTCAATGTATCCATGATACCTTAATGATACATTTACAACAAGTTCATTCGTTGCAAAGCACTGCTCCTGCTGCAGACAGGAAGAAACTGAGGCATTCAGTGTGGATTTGAGGTCATATTTCTGATTCATTCTCTACCCGGGGTCCCAACCTATCACATCTAATGCAAAATATTATCCTTTTAAATATAGTAGAGGCCAAAATAAATAGTAAGTTTAAAAATTGCATAAAATTCCATCACACTAATATAATTCTATAATGAAAAAGTGAAGTCTTATTCTATAACTGAGTTGGGAAAGTCTGGGATCATCTGATGAAATCTGCAATGCACCTGTCCCAAATTTGGTGTGTAGGACACACAATGGCCACAGGATTGTGCAGGCTTAGATAGAACTGTAGAGTTAAAGATACATCATACACATTATTATTTGATGTTGCTCTCCTGTCATGTTTGCATCCTGTATTACATTTGGTCAGAGCTCAATAAGATTTCTTTTTCTTTTCACTTCCTCGTCCACGCTGAAGTCGGATTCATTTTGTTAAAGCAAATCACTACCTGTACTCTACTTATTTCTTTAGCACAATGCCCAGCAAATGAAGTTCGGACAGAATCATCTGGAGTAATCCTCAGCCCAGGATATCCAGGCAACTATTTTAACTCCCAGACATGCTCCTGGAGTATTAGAGTGGAACCAAACTATAACATCACCATCTTTGTAGACACATTTCAAAGTGAAAAGCAATTTGATGCACTGGAAGTATTTGACGGTAAGTTGTTTTTGTTGGCTTGTTTTGTAATCTTTGTATGACTGGTTTCTTCTGTATCAGTAATAAATACACCATTAGAACATTTCCTCAACATAGGACTCGGATATATCCTTGAGTTAAATTATATCTTCCCAAAACAAACAAAAATAAATTACTCTGCGACTTGTATATTCTTAAAGATCAAGTGGACTAAAGCACTAACATACTATTAATAATGTTGCAACTTTGAGATGAGAATGGAAGAGTGGAAACTGTGACATAGCCATCCCCCTGGGCGGTGATTTCTCACTTTCCCTCTCTTTTTGTTTCACTGTCTATCTGGCAAGCCCATGCAAGCTGTGGGAGAAAAAAGAAAAGAATGGCCATGCTAGAGAAGCTGCTTCCTATTTAGAATTTCTGCACTGCTTTCCATCCCTGGGATGTGCTAGTAGTTTTCCAGGTGGATTTTAGCAATTCAGTAGAAGGTTTTCTGTTTCCAGATGGCCTAAAGTTCCAGTGTCACCTAATAACTTTAGCTGCAGAGATAAAGTCTTGTTTCTTGTATATATAAACAGGGCAGAGAGACAGGCTAAATACTTCTCAAGCATAATACCACAAAATGAAATATGCTCTGGTAGTATCTTTGTGTCAGGAAAAGGCAGGCATATGGTCAAACCACTGCTAGTCCTTATAACGCTTTCTGCCATACATGTTTTAGATTTAAGAAAAGCATTTGCATATTATAACCCTGAGGGGCAGCCACCATTACCCTCCATATCAGAGATCGGAAAAACTCTGACTCCTTCTGCAGTCAATGCAGCTTCTAAAACTTCAGGCTCTCATTATACAGAAGAACAAATGCCGATTTCTCTTCTTTACTTTCTCAATATATCAACATATTTACTTTTGAATGTTCACATTATTATTATTATTATTATTATTATTATTATTATTATTTTAATGTGTGCTTACCCAAGACAGAGTCAGACAGAGAGGAAGAGGAAGAAAGCATCCCCCCGATGGAGTATAGCCAAGGAATAGGCCCTCTTCTCCATTTTGCCATCCTTGAGGGATTTGGGCCAAGCCCACATATGTGCCCAGTACGTGCTTTAAGGCTCCAGATTCGGACCATGCAGCAGCCATGTGGGATCCAGTTTCCTTAACCACCAGGTAGTGGGCTGGCGTTGAACATTCACTTTTGAATGGGCATGCTATATTTTATATAGTGATTCTACCACCAATACAGTAGAAAATACTTTAATTAGGTCATTTTAGTCTGTGTATGTTAGTTAGGTTTTTTCTTTTGTATTATTGCCATGGATTTGTGACAAGTATTTTAACAATCGAACCTAAAATATTAGGTCGTCAAGACTTTCCCGATGACCGAATACATACTTAAGTGATTCTAGGAAATGTTTCCTCATTGGTGACTCTATGCCTAAGCATTCAAAAATTTAAAATCCAACTCAATTAGAATATCAAGACAAATATAAGAAAAAAGTACTTTTTAATGGAGAGTTACTTCAGTCAAAACATACTTCGAGTTCTGTTCATCCTTTTAGGAAGTATTTATGGAAAGCTATAAATAAATAATACATAATCATATAATTAAAAGGAGATAAATTGGATGCGTTTGTTTAGACAAAAGCTCTTTTTTATTAAGGAGAAGTTGATTATTGAACTTTTAAAATGCACTGTAAGTAGTTTGGGTACATTTTTGTTTATTTATGAATCATTACCAATAATAGAAATAATTTCTCCTTAATAGTCTTCTAATCAAACTCTTTCTGGAAGATAATTTCATTTAGCAATGGAAGAAATTGCTAATTAAGAGACTCTGCTTTGGTGATTTTCTTTTGCACGTTTATACCTATGCAGATTATTTACATTTTGATTAACCTGAAAGTGGTTGAATAAAGAAACAAAGCTGAAGAAGAAAAGTATGTCAATGTATCCATGATACCTTAATGATACATTTACAACAAGTTCATTCGTTGCAAAGCACTGCTCCTGCTGCAGACAGGAAGAAACTGAGGCATTCAGTGTGGATTTGAGGTCATATTTCTGATTCATTCTCTACCCGGGGTCCCAACCTATCACATCTAATGCAAAATATTATCCTTTTAAATATAGTAGAGGCCAAAATAAATAGTAAGTTTAAAAATTGCATAAAATTCCATCACACTAATATAATTCTATAATGAAAAAGTGAAGTCTTATTCTATAACTGAGTTGGGAAAGTCTGGGATCATCTGATGAAATCTGCAATGCACCTGTCCCAAATTTGGTGTGTAGGACACACAATGGCCACAGGATTGTGCAGGCTTAGATAGAACTGTAGAGTTAAAGATACATCATACACATTATTATTTGATGTTGCTCTCCTGTCATGTTTGCATCCTGTATTACATTTGGTCAGAGCTCAATAAGATTTCTTTTTCTTTTCACTTCCTCGTCCACGCTGAAGTCGGATTCATTTTGTTAAAGCAAATCACTACCTGTACTCTACTTATTTCTTTAGCACAATGCCCAGCAAATGAAGTTCGGACAGAATCATCTGGAGTAATCCTCAGCCCAGGATATCCAGGCAACTATTTTAACTCCCAGACATGCTCCTGGAGTATTAGAGTGGAACCAAACTATAACATCACCATCTTTGTAGACACATTTCAAAGTGAAAAGCAATTTGATGCACTGGAAGTATTTGACGGTAAGTTGTTTTTGTTGGCTTGTTTTGTAATCTTTGTATGACTGGTTTCTTCTGTATCAGTAATAAATACACCATTAGAACATTTCCTCAACATAGGACTCGGATATATCCTTGAGTTAAATTATATCTTCCCAAAACAAACAAAAATAAATTACTCTGCGACTTGTATATTCTTAAAGATCAAGTGGACTAAAGCACTAACATACTATTAATAATGTTGCAACTTTTTAAAAATTTTACTTATTTATTTATTATTCATACATTAAATCTCTATACACCATTTAGATTGTGAAGAGACTTTACTCAGCATGATATAAGCCTCAGTCCAGCCCAGTTGAGACAACCGTATACATCCTCGTCAATAGATGATAAATCTTATCTGTGTCTCACAAGTATCTTACCTCTCTATTTTCCCCAAAAATTTCCTATGCTCTTCCTCTCCCACACTCTCTTTCCACTTTGGCTCTACTATCCATTACAACTTTTAATACTTTTATGTTCTCCAGTCTTTCAGTCTCTACCATAGAGTGCAGACAGTTTGTAGATGTTAAATGGAGACATACAGTGTCTCTCTTTTAGCTGGACTTGTTTCACTCAGCAACAAATCTTCCCTATTCGCTCACTTTCTACCAAATTCCAAGGCATTGTTGTTTTCTATGGCTGAATAGCATTCCATGGATGCTATTCCATGGATTATAACTGGAATGGGTAGTGATATACTTTGAAAATCAATTGAAAATTTCTTAAACATTGTTTAATGTGGGAATTTGGAGTTGCTTATTTCTATAGCTCTTCCTTCCTCTCCTAAGTACTATATTGATTTACAAGGTAGTTTAGGAAATTTGACTCCTAAAGGTAATCTAATCAATCTACAGAATTATTTTAGCAGAAATATATAAAACTAATGAGTTCCAGAGATTTCTAGAGGATAAATACTGCAAGAATATTTAATGAAAAATTTTAAATTCTAGAGAGATTTTTGCTATAGGGTGCATGTACTTGTTGGAGAGACAGTCAGAAAATGAGATATCACCCCAGATAGCACCCCC